CGCTTAAATACTTCCTAGGCGCGGAAATAGCACAAGGGTAAGAAGGGATATTCTTTTGTCAAAGAAAATACACCTTAGACCTTCTACATGAATGTGAAATGCTTGGTTGTAAGCCTTCTTTGTTTCTAATGGAACAAAATCACAAACTTGCTTTGACCAAGGGACCTTCACTCTTAGAAATATCAAGGTATAGGAAATTAGTTGAACATCTGATATACTTAACTATCAATATGCCTGAATTAACCTGCTCAGTTCATATTCTAAGTAAATTCATGCAAACTCCACTCCAAGACCATTGGGATGCTACAATGCGAGTCTTACGATATCTCAAATCTTCTCCAGGTCAAGGTATCATTCTTCCACAACACAATGATCTACAGATAGTTGGCTATTGTGACTCGGATTGGGCATCGTGTCCCATCATCATAAAGTTCATCTCAAGTTATCTAATGAAACTTGGCAATGCTCAAATATAATGGAAAACAAGGAAATATGCCACAAACTCTTGATCCTCAAGTGAGGTTGAATATCGTGCAATGGCACATGCCACAAGTGAAATACTATGGCTAAATAATTTGTTAGAGACTTTGCAAATTCCATGCATCAAACCCATGTTTTTGCATTGTGACAATCAAGCATCTCCTCATTTAGCTGCAAACCTGGTCTTCCATGAAAGAACAAAACACATTGTAATTGAATTTCATTTTATCAGGAAACACATACACTCAGGTGCCATAAGCACAACTTATCTGCCCATCAAACAACAAAATGCTAATATTTTTACTAAGTCTTTAGGCGTGAAAGTTTTTTAATACCTCATGTTCAAGTTGATTGTTCATAATCATCACCATCCAACTTGATGGGGGATATTAGAGATAAATTTAACAGTTTGTTATTAGTTTGCTAAAGTTTGTTATGATTGTTATTAGTTTGTTAGATTTTGTTAAGGTTTATCCTATTTTCAAGCTCTAAAAGATAGATTATCAGTCTATATATAAAGATATGTCATGTGTCATAAAAAACAATAAAAGTACAATATATTTTTTAAGTTAACTTTTTATTATTATGAAACTTGAGTGACATGCGCCACACACTCCTTAATCCTTAGGATTTATAGGGGGTCGCGTTGACTACTTCTACCATACTAGTTCTTATTCATTGTAAAAGCATTTTTTGCAACTTTGTTCCTAGACCCAAATCTAGATGCTTTAGGGTGAGGCATTTATGTTCTACAAAAGTTGAATCTTAATGTTAGATTTTATGAAAAACAAAATGCTTTTAACGTGATATGTCATTCTTGTATCATCCAATTGGAGGCCTTCTACACTCCTAATCTCCCTAGCATTGGATCGCAATGCTATTGTTATTCCTAAGTTGATTAAGAGGGTGCATAAAAAGAGATCTTTCCCTCTATATTTCCCTTTTTTTCCTCGCCTTCATCATCCCTTATTTTTAACATCTTGTTGATTTCTTGGGTTTCTTCTCTAGAACTTTATTTAAAGCCTCATTTTGCACTGAAATTGCTTATTTTTTTAGGGAATTTCATCTTTCAACAATCTTTCCTCCACACTTTCGTCTTTCGTTCAACTAGTAAGTTTTTTTGTGATTATTGGTTTATTATTCACAGTGAGTTTGTCATTCTTGATTCCCATTCCTTGTGTACATCTTGGTGCAACTTCCTTAAGCCACATGTTTCAATTGACACCTCTCGTAGTGGTTATATGTGGTCATGGGTGTTATTGCATCACTATGGTGTTATAAATTGGTCTATTACACCAAATTTGTCAAAGGATTATAAATATGATATGGTTGCTATTCTTAATATTTCTCTCCCAGAGTTTTGAAAATCCCCTTGTGGAGCCCATGTCTCAACATAATCCTTTTAACTTCATCATTTGTATCTTTCACTATGACAACCTTCTCATAGAACCTATCAATGTAGGTTCTTAAGGGTTATTCTTTTTTCCCTTTAGACTCTAACATTTTCCATGGATTCCGGTTGCCTCTTAGGGGCAATGGAATGAGTTGTAAAGCATCTTCAGAGTTCTCCCTAAGAAACAATAACCTCGGGTCTCAAGCATTTGAACTATGTCATTGTTATTTTCTTTAGAAAAAGGAAGAACAACTTACATTTAACTAGTCCTCTGGCACTTTTAGACGTGAGAATGTCGTCCACGTTCCTATGATTAAGCCTTTCAGGGTTGGACATGAACCTTAAGAGAATAATACAAAATGATTAAGCCTTCTTATTCCTATGAGATTCTTCTCACTGTCTCATTGGCCCATTCACGTCATGGTTAGTTGTTTTTTGCAGTAGGAGGTGCAACTCGTGTTTATAACATATTCGTCATCAAATTTGAGATAATGTGGTAACTTTGACGATTAAGTCAATAGAGGTTGTGTGTGTGAGGTTTAAGGTTTAAAATAATGTATAATCGGTTATAAACCATTCGTTAGACTTTATAACAACGGTTTAGGGCCTAATTATAATCTTCCTTAAAGACACCTATCTTAGAAGACATATGTTAAATATCTAGTAAATTATGTCCTTTGATAATTGAGAATGACTAACCAACTCAGATCATGTGTATTTTTAGGACATGTCCACCTTCTTTTTTAGGGGTCCTAGAACCTTTTCTAAGATAATTTTCTTAGATGAATATGTTAAAAGGAACTTCTGAATTATCATCATTTGATGTCGCTAGGGGGCAATTTTCCTTTATCATGCATGCCTCTAGGAAATGCCCACTTTTTGGTCCATTTTACTTCATAAGTCTTTGTTGGAACAAAATTGATTTGTATCATATCTTTTAAGTTTTGATGATAACAAAGTATTTAAAGAATAATTGGGTAATACTAATATTTGTTCAAGTGTTCATGACCATAGACTAAAATTTCAGGAATAATCTAAGTATTGGTTATGATAATGAACATCTAAAGAGAATCTGAATGATTATAAGTCGACTTCTAAAGATCAGACTATGAAGAGGCCAATGTTTGAAGACCAGAGACTAAAAAAGTCAGTCTCTGAAGATCAGACTTTGAAGAAGTATGTCTCTAAGGATTAGAACATAAAAGCAGTCAAAGCGCAAAGATCAAGGTGACTCTGATAGGTCCCTATCAGACTCTGTGGCTAATTTGTCTTCTTCTGGTCATGTAAAGACCTAAGCTTTTTCTCATATAGTCAACTAGGATGCAATTGATAATTCCTTTTGTAGCAATGGGATTTCAAACAAGCTTTCAACAACATCAACCATTTGAAGAAACATTTCAACGTTTCTATTCAAGCTTCGTTAAGACTCTCTTTTCCAAGCTCTCCAACAACTTTTTTCCTTCTCTATTTAAGGAGCTGAAGACTTCAAGAACTACAACGAACCATTGACCTTAAAAGAGCAGTTACTTCATCAAAACAAAAGCACGAGTTTAACTTAAGATTTCTTATCTTTGTATATTCTAGAAATCCCTAAGTTTAAAGTATCTTCTTGAATTATATTTTGTCTACACCTCTGATTGTATATCAAATGTATTATCTCAAACAATCTTGTATCTATTAGGTAATTGTTAAAAGTCTCTTACTTAGTATTTGAATAGTTGAAGTCTCTTACTTGTGTGTTTAAGCATTAAAGTCTTTTGCATGTGTGCTTGAGCATTAGAAGTCTCTTGCTTGCGTGTTTGAGCATAAAAGTCTCTTACTTTGTGTTTGAGTATTGAAAGTTTCTTACTTGTGTCCTCGAGCAAATTGTAATCTTGTGTGATTATAGTGAAAATCTCTTGTAAGTACAATGAGACTGGATTACTATTAGTTTGTGAGAGGAATCAGGATAACTTTGTGTGTCTCTTTTTTTTTTAATTTCCTTATCCACTTTAAAAAAAAACTAACACAATTCAATCTCTCTCTCTTTTCGTGTTTTTCTCACCTTTAATCTTAGGCAGTCTAATTTCATTCTAATTAGGTCTTGGCCCAGTCCGAAATAATATACGTGGATAAAAAAAGTTAATGTTTGCAACAGAAAAATCTCAAACAAATATATAAACCCACACATGAGAGATAACTTGTTGGTAACTTAGTGTGCGAGTAATAATTCTACATTAATGGACTCGTATATTTAATAACTTAAAATTTTAAAATGAAAATACAATGTTCACTTGGGTTGTGTTGGGTCTTCACCCGATGTCATGATCTTTGTTGTTTTCTACTCCTCTCATGACCCAACATAAAATAAATGAAAAAATTTATTTAAAAAATAGTCATTTTAATATATTGATTGAATCTAATAAAAAAATAGATAGAAAATTAGTAATTTTTCTTTTATTTTTTTAAATGAAAAAGAGATTAAATAAATAAATAATTGGCATAAATGTCATTTTTATGCTTGATAAAAAGTGAAAAAAATTTTTAAAGATTAACACTAGTATAAGTATAAGTAAATAAATAGAAAGAATCAAATATTTATTTAAAGATAGTGTATTTTCTTTACTTAAAAGAGAGAGAACTTTGATATATATTGTCCCACATCAATTTTCATTTATTTCCTCTCTTTTTTTAAATACCTATTCATAACATTTTCCCTTCCTAGCATTTTTTGTAACCAACCTTAGTGTTGATGTCACACCATTTTGAATTCAAGTGACCATTTAATTGTTATTTCTTCCTTGTCAAATCATATATATTCATACTAGTTATTTATGCATGATTTATGGAGAGAAAAAATGTAATGAAAAGAAATACTTCAAGACATTTGTGATAAAAACAAAAAGGAGGCTTTTGAGATACTACTTCCAACAAAGTAGAAAAAGAAAAGAAAAAGTAGCTTTACTAGCTTCCTATATCCACAAACCACAAACTCTATTCAAAGATGCACTCAAGTGTCTTTACTTTTTAATAATTAATCGTAGTCACATGTATAAGTAGTATCCCCTGAAATACGGGTATTCTATTATAGGTATGGCACTCGTACCAAATACGTATTGGTATCAGTATATATACAATACGCATCGATTCAGCCAATCTCACGACGGATCCAAACATGCACTAATAGTACTGAAAAAGTTGGAAAGAAAATGATTATAGGAAAAGCCTTACTTGGATTAGTGCTAGTAATGACAGCAGTTCCACCAAAATTGCAGCTATTTGGCAAAGGATTCCTATGATAATACTTATTGAATGCATAAGAAGCATGATCATGAATAGAACTCGGATTATAACAGCTTCCACCGGGTTGAATCGCCGAACAATCGGTGCCGCCGTATCCACAAGCATAATCCAATGCAACTTGTAAAGCAATTAATGAAGCACTTGGACTCGCAACACACCAACTTAAACCAGAAAAAATTGGAAAAGAATTCACTGTGTTTGGAGTTGTAAATGGAAATGTGGAAGTTGGTGAAACTGTATCTGGATTTGAATTAGGATTGAAAAATGGAGGTGTTGAAATTGTTGGTATGGTGGTTATTGGAGTGGTGATGTCTTTTTGGACAGTGGAAATTTTGCTGGTAATTTGTTGTCTTATGTCGATATGTCTTGTTTCTTCATTTTCTGTCCTACTTGAACCTGGATTTGAAATCATAATTGAATTACTTTGTCTCTTCTGTATCTAAAACATGTGATGAAAGAAAAAATATTTTTGTCCGAACTATCTAATCAGTGAGTTTCATACGAGTGTCAGCACATCGATTCAAAAAGTGTAGAAACAAAGATTTTTTTTTAATAAAGAACAAGTTTTCAGACACTTGTTAGATTTTTCCGATGCATAACATATAAATGTAATACAAATGTCGGACACTGAAATTACTCAAAGACTTTTCCGATACATGACATATAATTGTAATACAAATGTCAGACACCGAAAATACTGAGAGACGAGACGCCTCTCTTAGATTTCCGTGTTTCATATCTTAGAGTTCTTTAATGTCTATTGTTTTATGTGAACAGTTTTCTATAGAGCATCTAATAAAATGGAAAATAGAGACATGTAGGGTACCCTATATCCTATATGAGTCAAAGTAGTTGGTCCCTTTGTATTTTTTCAAGAAACTGCATGTGGAAGTACTGGAAAAAAGTTGGATATGCAACTGCTCTATGAGAAACTCTACTGAAAAAGACTTGTTCAAATTTCTATATTCTAAGCCTCTATAATTGGTTCAACTTGAAGGAAACATAGTTTTGTTGCAATGAGATTGCATTCAATTAGTCCAACATATATAACTAAGAGTAAAGGAATTGAAATACCAAAGCCAAAGTTGTGGCTTAATAAGATTCAAAACATATTCAAAAGAGAGAGAAAAATGGGAAATCATAGAAGAAAAATACCTGAACATAGGATTTGACTGAGCAAGAGAAATAATAGATAGTAAAATAAAATCCTTTCCATGTTTAATCTTTATGTTGTAGTTCTTCTTTTGAGAGACTTTCTTCTCCTCTCTTACTTTTTGTTGAATGTTCAAGTTTAAGCAAAAGTATATATATTGGTAGTGGTGGAGTGTGTGTGGGCCTAATACAGAGAAAGTAGAAATGATTTGAGAAAGGAAAAATGAGGTGGAGGCGCAGAAGAAAGTGTTGGAGGGTGAAGGAGCAATAAGGTGGGGAAGAAGGTTAAAAAGAAGGTAAAGGAATGGGTTTGTGGGTTAGTAAAGTCATGATTGTAAATTTGTAATCATGATTGTATATTTTTTTCCTTTCTTTTTTTCTATTCTCCTCTTATTATTTTACAATTTGTAATTGGTTTAAAATTGGTGCATATGGACACATGGAGACTACAATAAAACTCCCTATTTGTGGATATGTCTTTGAATTCATTATTGATGGAGAAAATCCGTTATGATCATATTCGGGTTTGAATTTGAATTTTTTTCAATTTTAAAATACTTATATAAAATCGATAATAGGAATATTAGTACTCGTTTATGAACTTGCTTTGTTAATAGTTTTAAATATTTAGTTTCTGATAATTTAGAATATTAATTATTTAGTAATACATTCATATTTTGTTGTAATTTATCATTTGAAATATTTTGAAAATTTTTAATATTATTTTAAATTATTATTTGTAGTGTTGTTACATTTCAAATTATATAATAAATTTGAGGAAATTAATTGTTTCAATTTTAAAATATTGATTCTAATGCAGGAATAAGACTCGATTGTAATACCTAAACTCATTTGGGACGGATCAAAATATATAATGAATTTGAGAAAATTAATTGTTCCAATTTTAAAATATTGATTGTGATGCTGGAATAAGACTCGACTGTAATACCTAAACCCATTTGAGACAGATTGTGGGTTCAATTGTTTATCTCCTTATAGATTTAGGGCGTGGAACAAGTATTTATCTAAGATTTGGATTTGGTGATGGAGAAGATAACAATTGTCTCGCCCCGCCTCGTTGTCATACCTACGCACATGTATGAAAAATTGTTTACTATGAAATATCGACATAGATAAAGAGACATGACATTAACATATAGATACTAATATATATATATATATATATATATATATATATATATATATATATATATATATATATATATATATATATATATATATATATATATATATATATATATATATATATATATATATATATATATATATATATATATATTGAACACAATTGCATGTGTAAGTCACACTGTAAGTATTTGTCAACGAAAGCTATTAAAATGGGTCTAATCCATCGGACCGGCCCGCAAGTCTATAATTTTTGGAACAATTAGATTATTCGGGAGTGTGTGTGTGTGTGTGTGTGTGTGTGTGTGTGTGTGTGTGTGTGTGTGTGTGGGTGTGTGTGTGTGTGTGTGTGTGTGTGTGTGTGTGTGTGTGTGTGTGTGTGATTTTGTGTGTGTGTGTGTGTGTGTGTGTGTGTGTGTGTGTGTGTGTTAGAGAGAGAGAGTGTGTGTGTGTGTAATATGAAGATGATTGTGTATTGAAAGGAGCCAGTGTAAGATTACAGCCCAACATGCCTATTTATAGGCAACTAACATACTTGACTTATTACATGATGTATTCGACCATGTCAAATACATGCTAAAATATTTCAACAACAACAACTACATATTGTATTCGGCTGTGTCGAATACAACTAACTCTTACTCAGCTAACTTTGACTATGTCGAATACAACTTAGTACGACTCTCTCGAACACAAACTTGCCTACTAGAATAGTGAATTACTACTTCTAACACACCACCTAATTCATGTTTTCTAGACTTCTTATCCCAATGTTTCTCTTCAACTCTTCGAACCTGATTTTCTTCAATGGCTTGGTGAGTATATTAGTTAGTTGCAGTTCTGACTTGCAATCCTCCAGTTCAAGTTTTCCTTTATTTACTTGATTCCTAAAAAATAATTCCTCTTATCTACGTGTTTACTCCTATCATGACACATAGGGTGATTTTTCAGGTTAATAGCTGACTTATTATCTACAAACAACTTCATCTTTCTAGGTTCCATGATCTTGAAATCTTTAAGTAACATCTCTATCCATAATGCTTGTAATGCTGCATAAGATGAACTGTATACTCATACTCAAATGAGGATAATGCTACAATGCCTTGGCTTCTCGAGTTCCAAAAGATTAGTGTCACACCAATCATGAATATGTAGCATGCAGTCTTTTCTTTTCATCTTGGTCCCCATTTAAATCAAAATTTGTATAGCCATACACTTCTGTAATGTTCTTCATGTTCTTCTTGTTCGGAATCAGCACACCATTGTCGATTGTCCCTTTGATGCATCTAAACACTCTCTTGATTGCAATAAGATGACATTCTTGTGACTTCTCCATAAACATACTCGAAATCCCAATACTTTGGCAAATGTTAGGTATGGTATTGCATAAGTACCTTCATAGTTGTCTCCAGCCTTGCGACAGGTACATAGACTTTGTTAAAGTAGATACCAGGATTTTGTAGAAAACCTCTTGCCACTAGTCTTGCCTTATAGATGGAAATTTCAGCCCTTGGCCTCGGTTTCACCTTGAAAATCCATTTCACATCAATTGGCCTTTTGTTTGATCTTTCGACAAGTTCCCTGGTCTTATTTTTATAAATTGCCTTGAGTTATTATTTCATAGTTGCCAACCAATTTGAATCATTCATGGTTTGATCCAAATTAATTAGTTTTGATTCATTCATTCATCATCGCTTTTCTATGAGATCACCATCTACATCAATTGCTTGATCTGGAAATCTCTCATATCCAACTAGCCTTGTCAACTCAGTTCTTATTATTGTCAATTTTTGTATATTATGCTCGAGTGGTTTTTCATTTTGAGTGGCTATGGCTTCATTTTACTGGTCTACTTCAAGCACAATTGGAAATGTCTCTTGCACATGTCAAACTAGCCCCTAAGTCCAATTCCACCCTTTTTTTCCTCCACTAGAGCATCCCTACTGCTCACTACTTTATCATTATTTGGGGAATATAACTTGTATGGATCAGTTGAATGATAACCTATGAGCATCATAGTCTGACTTCGATCTTCTAGCTTCTTCCTCTATTGCTCAGGTATATGCCTGAAACACATTGATCCAAATACTCTAAGATGACTAACATTTGGCTTCAGATCTGTCCAAGCATCATAGGGTATCATGTCGACTATCTTCTTTGTTGGACATCTATTAAGTATGTATGTTATTGTTGAAACAACCTCTCCCCATAATCTCTTTGGCATTTATTTAACTTTCAACATACTTTTGGCCATGTTAGGTATACTTCTATTTTTCCTCTTAGTTATACCATTGTGTTGTGGTGTAAGTGGTGCAATGACCTCATGCTTTATACCTTTCTCATTGCAAAATATTGATAATTCCATATAAGTGTATTCACCTGCACCATCAGTTCTCAGTTTCTTTAACTTTCATTCACTTTGTTTCTCAACATGCAATTTAAACTTATTGAACTGTGTAAATACCTCACTCTTTCTTTCAATAAGATAAACCCAAATATATCCGATGAATTCATCCATGAAAGTTAAGAAATAACAATTACCTCCATTTGATCTTACTTCAAAAGGTCCACACACATCAGAGTGAACAAGCTCTGGCTTTTATGTTCACTTCATGTACAACTCATGTTTGAATGTTTTCCTAGCATGCTTTGCTCTGCAGTTCTCCTCACACACTTGACTTGGTTCCTTAACTGGTGGTAAGCCATACACCATATTCTTTAGGTTGAGCATAACTAGACTTCTAAAGTTTAAATGTCCATACATATGATGCCAAAGCTAATTTTTGTCTCCGTTGACAGTCGAATTCAGACATTGATGATCAATTGTGTTGATCTCAACTTTGAAGGTCTTGTTATTTGCTAGTGGTGTTTTCAAGATCATCATTCCTTCACCGTTATACACATTCATCTGATTCTTTTCCATCTTCATGTTGTACCCTTTTGCAAGTAGTTAACCTATGCTTATCAAATTCTTTGTCATCAAAGGTACATATAATACACCACTGATATTGGCCTTCCGGCCATGCTTTCTAACCACAAATATGTTTCTTTTTCCACCTGATGTTACATCCATGCCATTTGCAAATTTGATCACTTTGGCAATCGATTCATCTAACTTGACGAACTAGTTTTTATTCCCAGTCACATGGTTGTTGCATCCTGAATCTAGATACTATATATTTGCTTGTTCTTCATTTGACTGAGTATTAGCCATAAGTAGCACATCATCAGAGTCGCTTTCTCCAATATTTACATATTGCACTTCTTCATTATCTTTTACTTTTGCTTCCTTCTTTCTTCGAATGACTCGAACATAATGACTTAATCCTTGATAGTTGTAGTATTGCACCTCCTTCGTGTCAAATTTCTTCCTTGCATACTTATTGATCATGTCTTTCTTGGTGTACTCATTATGATTATTTGAATTCTTGCTAGAATTCTCATCATTAGAAGGATTTTTTCTCTGTTTTGCCTTTTCTTTTCCAAACTTCTTGGTGAATCTTGCTTGTAGTGCTTGTTCCGCCACTTTGTGCCTTTACGAGTTTCTTTGCTTCAATCTCATCTCACGAGCCTCTAATGAAACTTAAAGTTCTTCTAACTTCATCTCAACTAGGTTCTTGGACTCTTGAATAGACACAACAATGTAATCAAAATCTGCAGTTAAAGATTTCAACATTTTTTTGATCTTTTGCAAATTATTGATTGATTCACCACACGTCTTCATTTGGTTGGTGAGTAACATTAATCTTGAAAGGAAATCAGCTATTGTTTCATCTTATTTCATTTGTGTTATCTCAAGTTTTTTTCTCAATACTTGCAACTTCACCCTCTTCAGTTTCTCATCTCCAACATACAAGTTCTTTAACTTTTCTCATTCTTCTAACTTCATCTCAACTAGGCTCTTGGACTCTTCAATAG